CCGTGTAGGAGGAGCTGACTCCTGATTGGACGCTCATCTTCACTGCTCTCTATTTCCCAGTCGTATAGCCCGTCTCTCCACGTTCCCCCTCCAAGGCCAAAATGGCTTTGCGGGCCCCCAGTCTGTGTATCAGCATGCTAAGGGACCAACAGACAAATGGACAGACATAATTAAACCAGCTGAAAATGACCAGCATCTCCTAATGATCTGAGTGTGTCTGTGTGCATCTTACCTGCTGTCCTCCTTCGGCTTCATGTTAAGGGTAAGTGTGTTTTCCACAGCCTTCTTATCCAGAGTGTAATGGAGACTCACGGAACCTGAAATATTACCGGAACTCTGGGTAGACAAAGTGGTGAAAGGAGGGAGGAAAGTGATATCAGGTGACAAGAAATTCTAATTTATATTTAAAAAAATGATGTAAAATGCATGACATTTTCAAGAATAAGAAAAATATATCACAACTTGAATTTTAATTTAAATAAATAATATTTCCAAAGTACCAAAGACTGAGTATTTATATGAAACCCTCTGTAAATACACAAATATTAGACTTAGGGTCATTAGATGGATAGGAAATCTTCAAAACTTCAATAAGCCAGGAGGTGAATAGGAGATTCCGGAATCAGGCTGCATGCCTGAAAGTAAGTTAAGGTTCCAAACCTGTCCTGCGAGCTGGAAGTACAGTATTGCCCTCTGATTCTGGAAGATCACATTGGGAAGAGGAGACAGGGGGGTGACAGATATATCTGCTGGAATGTTCCATTTCACTGAAATGTCCTCTACAACAGGCTGCAGGGCAAACTGAAGAGACTGCATAACCTGAGGAGTAGAAAAAGACTCGTGTTAGTTACTGATAGGGCATAAGCATACTAGAGATTAGCACAGTATAGAGACAATTAAAGACCAACAATCCTCACTCATGGTCCAATGGGGACCTGTTCTCTGAATTATCTGCAATAGTATGATGATCATTTACAACAGAAAAATAAAATATTAACTAGAGAAATACTCATATGCATATTAGACACATGTGAGAGGCTGGTCAGATACCTACATGACTATATCAACATTTCAGATGTATGTATTTAGCATTATATGAATATTGAGACATCAAACACTAATTAAAACCTTTACAGGGATTAGAGGAATGTTTACATGCTGGCTTTGATCTTTGGATCTACAGTCTTCATTGGCTGAAAGGGCTGGACGACAAACAAGCTTAGAGAAGTAGGAGTGAGTTTTATATGAGCTGAGGAGAGGAAGCTGCATGGATTAACTTGTGTTTCTCTAGTTCAGATGCAGGTGTGACTCCTCCTCACCTTTGGCTGCAGTCTCTCTGCTCCAGTGATGAACTGTGGGTGTCCAGAGCCGCCCTCAGCCATGCCATTCACCAGGGCACTGCTGGCCCCCTCCCCGATGCCAAAGGTGAAGCACCTGGGTACAGTGAGGAAACACACACACACACACACACACATTTCAGGTGACTTCTGAGTGGCCAAAACTTTACTACAAAGACTCCAACCTTCAAACACAAATACTAAAAGCCTGGAAAACCTACAAATTCATAAAATGATTCTTTTCAAATGCTGAATGCATGTCACAACAACTCCCATTTATCAGTCTCTCATCTTCGTGGGGACATTTAATTTGTTTATTTTTATCTAAAGTAACGTAGAACTGAGAAAACAGTGTCAGTCACACCCTGGAGCAGTGAGGGTGAAGGGCATCGCTCAAAGGTCCAACAGTGACATCATTCTGCCCACTGCAGGATTTGAACCATCAACCTTTCGATCATAGGTACAGAATCCTTGTCCACAGAGCCACACACCATACATCTCCACAGCATCTGCAGACACACAGAAAGGTGATGCT